GAGCTCTCTGAGAGGATTCTTAGAATCTTTAAGAATACGGGCCCAGATGTTAGATAGCCTAACACGGGGCACCACTAAATGCAGTGATTTTAGATTTAAGTAGCACCACCAGTGTAATGGCTTTGGGCTTAAATATTAATATTTCGTTTTGGTCATACTATTTTATGGGGCACCAGCCAAGGAATTGCACCTTGACAATAATGAACAATCATGGAAGATTGTTGAATAAATAAGAATTACAATTTAATTACAGGAAGTTGTAGTCTGACCAATCTGAAGGATTTGTGAGATATCGTTAACTTGTAGAGCCTGTATTATCAACACAAGGAAGACAAGTGTAAAAAAGGGTTTTATTAACAAAGGGATAGACAAGAGTAACTAACATCTACTAAATACAATGAATGGATAAAGTGCAAAAGATTGATAAATGTAAGTGATTGAGTTGGATGTTACTATGGACGTTATCGTGTGGAAAGATAAACTGAAGTTTCCTAGAAGTAGTAAGGTAAACCTTATTCTAGTTTCAACCTTTCAAATCGAATGATTATTTGTTATTAACTGACATCAGTTTTATAGAATCTAATGCAAATTAGATAATCATACACTAATGCCATCGCTCTCTGGAAAGAGGTTTGGAAAGAGTGATATATTTACGTTCTGCCTGGTCATGTGCTGAGTTTGAGCGGCGACGTCTTCCATGGAGCCTTGAAGGTGAAGGTTCTGAAGTGTGTACAGAAGATACGGACTACCTGGAACACGCAGGAGGGCGGATCATTGACGTTGATTTTCTGAAGTCATTGCAGAAGATCCTGGCTGTTTGGAACTCGCAAATGGAGGATCGCTAAAGAGACGATTCAGAAGTCCTTGGAGAAGATCCTGGAAGCTTGGGACTCGCAAACGGAGGATTGCTAAAGAGAAGATTCTGAAGTCGTTGCAGAAGATTGGGGGGCACTAAGCTGGTAGTTTCCAAACTCACTTCTTGCAGAACTTCCTTGTTTCTCCGGCAGAGCAGCTTAGCAGTTTAGCTCTTGGCTTAGCAGTAGACCACACTACTTAGAAGCTAACTTAGCAACAACATCTTAGCACACGGTCTTAGCAACAGGTCGACCACACCACTTAGCACACTTCTTTGTCTTGGAGAGAACCTTTTATTCCTTCCCTGAGAAGGCAGGGTTTGCAAGTTGGCACCTTTCAGATCCAGCATTCTGATTGGCTGATGCTGTCAGAGGTGGCCATGGTATGGCCTCTCTCTTGCATGAGGTCTATTTGCATAGCTTACAAGTCTACATTAAAAACAATGTCTTTAAAGTTTTTCCTATGCATTATTCACTTTCCAAACCAATTCTAGATTAACCTACACATTGTGCTGAAAATATGAAGACCAAACACCAATGGGTAATGCTGAACATTGACCCATGCATTCATATATATATGGTATATACCTTTATAGGTAATGTTGCATACAGTGTTGTATCACACAGCATTCATTAAGTATATACAGTTCTGTAAATTGATATGAGGAAGGTTTAGTCAATTTTTTGTCCATTTTGTGTGAATGCATGTGAAGATGTGTCTTTCCTTTGTGGCTTTGGCCACATGGCAAACTGTGAAGGGAATTTATGATCATTCACACTTTGATAAGAGTAAGGGAGAACAAAGCAGTTCCTGGGTGGGGTTTACAGTATGATAATGTTAACCCCCTGTCCACAAGGTAAAACCGGTTTGGTCAGTCTGAGGTAGCGAGTGATTGTTCACACTTAGGTCTCAAGAATGAAGAACTGCGATCAGTGAAAGACCCCATGGTGATTGGATCAGTCTTTGATCCATGAAATGCTGACATCCTTATCCTTCCACAAATGATAAGTTTGAGGGAGTCTAAAGTAGTATAAAAATGTATACTACTGCGTCGAACCTACGGATTTGATATTTATTTGCTGCCGTCACGGCTATAATGCTTCTCCGATGAGCCACTTATTCTTCGGCTTTTGCCGTGGTACTGCGGGTTACACCAGCAACATGCCCGTGGACACTGCAGACTAGCGGTTTGCATGTGTACTGCACATTGACGCGGACAAAGACGCAGAAGTATAAATGAAAACTGACGCATAGCCTACGGCATAGTTCCGACGCAGAAGTATAAATCAGCCTTAAGGCAGTTCCTGCCTGGGGGTTACTGTATGTTAATGTTAACCCCCTCTTCACAAGAGGTAGTGTTATGTTAAAAGAAAAGGCATCTTTTGTTGTCAACACATCCGATCTCATCAGAACATAACTTTCCACGTGTTGTGTGGAGAGGAGTCTTGCCATCTTGACCGCTGTTCACTACACTGCTCCTTATGTCTTTTCTTCACTCTGTGTCAATATGCAGTAAACATCGATAGCTGGTGAAGAGTTTAATGTCTCTTGGTTTCAGGAGACAATCACAGAACAAATAGACTGTTTTTGTCCCAGCTTCACAATTACACAAAACAAGTAGTCAGCAGCCATATCACCCTGTAGCCCTAGACTGGTCGCCTACTGAAGCTAAGCAGGATTGAGCCTGGATAGTACCTGGATGGGAGACCTCCAAGGAAAACCAGGTGCTGCTGGAAGAGGTGCTAGGGAGGCCAGCAGTGGGTGCTCACCCTGCAGTCTGTGTGGGCCCTAGCGCCCCAGTATAGTGATGGGGATACTATACTGACAAAAAGCACCGTCTTTCAAATGAGATATTAAACCGAGGTCCTGACTCTCTGTGGTCATTAAAAATCCCAGGATGTCCTTCGAAAAAGAGTAGGGGTGTAACCCCGGCATCTAGCCAAATTCGCCCATTGGCCTCTGTCCATCATCATAGCCTCCTAATCATCCCCATATTCTGATTGGCTTTATCACTCTGTCTCCTCTCCACCAATAAGCTAGTGTGTGGTGGACATTCTGGTGCAATATGGCTGCCGTATGACTACAGTTGTCAATCGTGGCATTTCTGTAGGTGTGTGTGAACAAGAGAGGAATGTTATAGAACGAAGGGTTAGCCTGTAGCTAAACCGGTTCTGAAAAGCATTTTTTCATTAATGGCTTAAAGGTTGCAGTGTATTGTAGATCATTAATTGTCAAGTAATATTTCATTATTTTATAGATAATTTCCAAGAATGCTCTAATTTACATGAAACAGCCTAAACGGTGAAAACCTTTAACAAAAGTTTTTGTTCTTAGGCATTGTGTTGCTGTGTGGGGGGTGTTTGAATGTAAGGACATTGCATGAACTGGAAAAAACAAAACAAAGAAGTGATATTAGCAACATTGAAATTATTTTTCAACTATAGTTGCATAACGTCTTTGATAATCATGTTTACAGTCGTTTGCCCTTTCTGAAAGGCATTAATCAACAGCTTATTATAACATGTAAATTAAAACTCATAGAAATGAAGGTTGGGGCTTGCAGAACATTTTTTTCAGATTTCAGAGTGCTTTATGAGCATTGATAAGGACCAGACCTCATTTCATGAAGGGACAGAGTCAAAGACAAATAAACACTTACTTCCACCTCCACCCACAGTTCAAAAAGGACTATCAGTACTTCTTTATAAATGCAAGGTTATTGTTTTTTGGTTAACATAAGTTGGCCATGCATCATACCACATTAGAAAAGGATGAAAATGCAATGATGCTACTGTCTGGCCAACCAAATAAAATAATGTTATCTACCTTTCTCATGCTGTGCAGATGCAAAAACAAGTAAATTCAATGGTAAAACATGTATTTTCCAATAAAACACATTAACCTCTGTTTAAATTCACTATAAAATGTCACGAAAACAAATTCCTCGTATGTGTAAACATACCTGGCAATAAAGCTAATTCTGATTCTGATTCTGATTCTAAAATGACATTCAAAACCCATTTCTGGATGAATTAGGATAATTCAACAAGTGTGTATTACTAATTTCTCACACAGACTCATCCCAAGCTTCTGTTGCTAATTAGTTCAAAAAGGACTATCAGTACTTCTTTATAAATGCAAGGTTATTGTTTTTTGGTTAACATAAGTTGGCCATGCATCATACCACATTAGAAAAGGATGAAAATGCAATGATGCTACTGTCTGGCCAACCAAATAAAATAATGTTATCTACCTTTCTCATGCTGTGCAGATGCAAAAACAAGTAAATTCAATGGTAAAACATGTATTTTCCAATAAAACACATTAACCTCTGTTTAAATTCACTATAAAATGTCACGAAAACAAATTCCTCGTATGTGTAAACATACCTGGCAATAAAGCTAATTCTGATTCTGATTCTAAAATGACATTCAAAACCCATTTCTGGATGAATTAGGATAATTCAACAAGTGTGTAGAACTAATTTCTCACACAGACTCATCCCAAGCTTCTGTTGCTAATTCCAAAATGCCATTTTAGACTTTCTAAACAAGTTTATCTGTGTGTGTATGTTTCTGTCTATGTGCGAGTGTGTGTGTCTGTGCTGTATGTGTGTGCATGCAGAGAGAGAGAGAGAGGGAGAACGAGAAGTATGCTTTTCATAGAAAATAAAAGGTAATTTAGTGGGAAAACATGGAAATTGTGTATTATTTTTATCCTGTTGTCATACTCGTTTGTTTGGTGAGTGTATTTGGTTCATTTTTATCACAGGACATTTGAAATAAGGGAAATATTTTAGTGAAGTGACCTGGAACTATAAGGAACTACTTCATACATCACAAGGAGGTATACAGATATATTTTGTCATAGAATAAAACATGAAAATATCCAGAGTTTGTATTACCCTTAGACCTTATTTTAGACATTTAAGCTAAAACCCATTGACTCCAGGACAACAGAACCAGAAGTACTAACATGCTAACTTGTTTCCAGGCTTTGGCCTACAAAAATGTAGAATTCAACAGCCCTGTGGAATGAATTGACAAAGATGACAATAAGTAAATGTTAACACTGAGAAACACCATTTTTACAATAGACACATTTTTCGCGACACATGTATAAGTGTGCCTGTCATTCTTTCTCAGGTAGGGAAGATACGCAAGACGGCAGCGCGGAAACGGGAATACCACCTTTTGTTCATGGTTATCACCACGGTGGTGTGTTACCTTCTGTGCTGGATGCCGTACGGTGTCGTGGCCATGATGGCTACATTTGGCCGGCCAGGAATCATCTCACCTGTGGCCAGTGTGGTCCCCTCTCTCCTCGCCAAGAGCAGCACGGTCATCAACCCGCTCATATACATCCTGATGAACAAACAGGTAACGGCACTATAAATCACATCTTCTTTTTTTTTCATATATATGGTAACAAAGGCTCATATGCATGTATAATGTATATGCTGCAATTATGACACAGATGCTTGTTTTCAAACTTCTTTTTAATTAAAAGAAACCGTGAGCATTGATATTAAATTAATTAACCATGATACACTTTCGAAAGTTTCAAGAACTGTATGTTCGTAAATAAAAACAAGAGTTATGGATGGGGGAAAAATATATAATTTCAGTTCACATCTTATTGTTTTTATAGCATCTTAATTTAAATTAATTTGAAAGTTATGTGAATTTAATAACAATAACAGTACATTATGCATAATTACAAGAAACAAGTTCATTTATATTTCGCATATTTCCAGTAAGTTCATTTATATTACTTATATTTATGTAATTGCACTGTAACAACATCACCTTAAAATAAAGTGTAATAATAACATTCATTTAAATACCCTGCAGCCCAATTGGAAGTTTGCTAAGGCCTCCTGAATGTATTTTTATATACAGTCATGTGAAAAAGAAAGGACACCCTATTAAATTTCAATGGATTTCCTTATCAGGACATAATAATAAAAAAAAAGATCATCTGGTCCTTGGCATGTCTTAAAATTCGGAAAATAAAACCTCAGATGATCAACAACACATGACATATCACACAGTGTCATTATTTATTTAACAAAAACTAGGCCAAAATGGAAAATCCATAGGTGACTAAACATTGTGTAACCCCCTTACTGTTAACATAGGAATTAAGAGTGTAAGTAATGGTCAGGCACTGCTAATCAAATACCTTTTAATAACTGATCATCAGCAAGTGTGATCACCTCTATAAAAGCAGACATTTTGGCAGTTTGCTGGTCTGGAGGCTTCTGGTATGTGTTAACACAATGCCAAAGAGGAAAGACATCAGCAATTATCTTAGAGAAGCAATTGTTACTGCCATCAATCTGGGAAGCGTAATATGGCCATTTCCAAACAATTTAAAGTCCATCATTCACAGTGAGGAAGATTATTCACAAGTGGAAGACACCAATCCTCCCAGGAGTGGACGTCCCAGGAAATTCACCCCAAGATCATAGCATCCAATACTTTTGAGAAATTGCAGACAACCCATGAACTTCACCGCAGACTCTACAGGCCTCAGTTAACATGTTAAATTATAAAGTTTGTGATAGTATAATTAGAAAAAGACCAGACAAGTATGGCATGTTTGGAAGGCTTGCCAGAAGAAAGCTGACAGTACCATTAGAAAAAGACAAGTATGGCATGTTTGGAAGGGTTGCCAGAAGAAAGCCTCTTCTATCTAAAAAGAACATGGCAGGATAGCTTAGGTTTGCAAAGTTGCATCTGAACAAACCATAAGACTTCTAGAACAATGTCCTTTGAACAGACGAGACCAAGTGGAGATGTTTGGCCATAATGCACAGCACCATGTTTGGTGAAAACCTAAAGAGCATATCAGCACAAACACCTCATACCAAAAATCAAGCATGCTGGTGGAAGGCTGATGATTTTGGGCTTAGCTTGTAACCACAGGGCCTGGGAACCTCACAGTCATTGAGTTGCCCATGAACTCCTCTGTATACCAAAGTATTCTAGAGTAAAGTGTGAGGCCATCCGTCTTGACAGCTAAAACTTGGCCAAAATTGGGTCATGCAACAGGACAGTGATCCCAAGCACACCAGCAAATCTACAACAGAACGGAATCAAGGTGTTGCAACAGTCCAGTCAAAGTCCAGACCTCATCCTGACTGAAATGCTATGGTGAGAGCTGTGCAGAAACAAACGCCCACAGACCTCAATAAACCAGAGCAGCGTTGTAAAGAGGAGTGAACCAAAATTCCTCCAGAATGATGTGAGAGACTGATAAAGTCATACAGAAAATGATTCGAGTTATTACTGTTAAAAGTGGATCTACAAGCAACTGGATCATAGGGTGTCCTTAGTTTGTCACACATGGCTTTTCCATATTGGCTTTATTTTGCTAAATAAATAATGACACCGGGTGATATGTCATGTGTTGTTGCTCATCTGAGGTTTTATTCTCCAAATTTTACAACCTTCCAAGGACCAGTTTTTTTTATTTATGTCCTGATATGGAAAAGCATGAAATTCAATAAGGTGTCGTTTCTTTTTCACATGACTGTGTGTGTGTGTGTATATCAAATCGATAATTTGAATTCATATATAGACATTTTTACAAAAAACAACCAAAAGAGACAAGAAACTTGACGGGTAGCACAAAATATGTTACTGGGTCAAGTAAAGGTCAAGGCTTTATTATCGAAACAAATGGTCAAAAGAATACACAAACATTGAATTAATTTTTAAACCACTAAATGACAAATGTGTATTAACATATAGATAAATAAACATTATAAAACATCCCATGGCTTTTGAAAGTGAACTGGCCTGTAATAGACAATTGCAGATATTTACAGTCTACAGTAAAGATCAAGACTTTTTCACAGATAACTTTAACAGGCAAAAAAAAAAAAAAAAAAGCTGTGGTGCAGAATTATAGAAAAAATATGGAAATTTAAAGGAAATTTATGAAAAGGAAAGATATAGGAGAAAATAAAAATAATAGATAGGAAAGTAAATTTAAAAAATGCAGAAAGGAAAGTTGGCACAGATACACAGCACCACAAATGTAGTACCATTCAAACATTCTCTCTCTCTCTCACACACACACACACACACACACACACACACACACACACACAAGAAAACAGCACATTTGGCAGTCCTCTGAATTGTACTGTGCACATCTATGACACAGGATTGAAGTTTGCCAGTGAAATCACCTGCATTTCCTCTTTTCTTTAACAAAGACTTTATGCTCAAAACCTAAATCTAGAGACCCAGCTCACATTTCCCATTACAGGCTAAATCCTACCATTTCTAGAACTGTAAATGTATTTACCATGAACACTAACAAGCCCTGCATTCTGTCACATGCTCTGTGCACCGTAATGTACATCCCCCACCCACCCCCCGAAAGTAGTCATATCACCCCATGACATTAAAAAAACAAAACCAAAACTATTTACAATAAACACTTCAAATAATACTCTTAAAACGGCTATAACTCCAGTCACCTAGTCTCTTTTCAGTGAGAAACAGGGATGGAGATTATGCCACTGAAACACCTCCTGTTAAAGGCTTAAGAAAACACATTCACAGAGGAAGGACACACAATTCTGCCTCTGACCATACAGCGTGTAAAAAAACTAGAGAGAAAGTAGAAGGCAGAGTTTTAGTCCTTCCATAGGCCACATGACCGATTGGCCACATTGATAAACAATTGTCCGGCAAAGCCGTGGCCTGATGGTTAGTGTCCATTGCGGTTAAAAATTCTGGGGTCTGGTTTTTTTTTTATTTCCCGCAATGACACATTAAATTGATCAAAAGTGATGGTAAAAACATGAATAATGTCACAATGTAATGTCATTTCCATTTCACATAAATGCTGTTTTCAATATTGATAAGAAACGTTTGTTTGAGCACCAAATCAGCATATTAGAATGATTTCTGAAGGATCATGTGACACTGAAGGCTGGAGTAATGATGCTGAAAATCCAGCTTTGCACCACAGGAATAAACTACATTTTAAAATATATTCAAATAGAAAACAGGTATTTTAAATTGTAATAATATTTTACAATATTAATGTTTTTACTGTGCTTTTGAACAAATAACAGCAAATGTAATGACCCCAAATGTTTGAACTGTAGCTAGTGTATATGCTCTCCCCCAGTCATTTCCTTTCCATTACCCGGTCAATAAAAAAAAGTGTCGAAAAAGCCACAAAAAAAAAAAAAAATTATCCGACTGTCACAGACTGGAGGCAAGTGCGATGGACCGTGATTGGTCACACATGCCCGACAACCACGGCCAGCCCAACATTGAGTCATACGGAGAAGACGACACACTGCAGGTTCAGCTACTCTAAACCGGTCATGGGAGTTTTACATCCAAACCTAATTTCGTATTCCACGTTAAAGAAAAAAAAGTTACTCTTCAGTTTCTCTACATCTACAATCCCCCAACATGGGGAAACAGGACAAAGTAAAGGTCAAATATTAGCTTTACACATCTCAGCCTATCATAGGACTAGAAGGAAAATGAAATATTTCACCCTGGTGAGAGAGTATCGGGAGCTCCTGAGTGAAATCATCAATTACTAGTTTTACTTCTACAATATACAACAGTGATTAAAACGAACGCTAGCTCCCCTCACCAGATCTCCAGAAAAATCAGCTTGTGAAAGTGTTCGGTCTTAATTAAAATGGCACACATTGAAACAATGCACATGAGTAAATAAACCTTCACGTTTTCCCTCCTGTAGAAAAGTCAAACCACAAAGTGAAATCGCATTAACTGTACATTTAAGAGAAGAGAAAAATTCATTCGCTTTTAAAGACGACCCCAACCTGGAGTCAAGAAAACCTCTTGATTTTAGGGTCTACAAGACAGTAAAAACCTCAGTTTATAATTAACAAATAATATCACCACCGTACTTGTTATATTGCCAGCAGCCTTAAAGTCCCAAATAAGATTTACAGTGCTGCATTGAGTCCATAGTACAAGCAATAATAACTATTTTCTGTAAACCACCTGTCTAGACAGATTTTTCAAAGTATAAAATGAGAATTAAATGAACTATGGCCACATTCAAAAACTCCTTTAAGCTGATTTTAATAACAGGTACATTAAAGTACTCCGCTTTTGAAGGAACATTTACACGGAGTAAGAAAACATGATTGATTCATTTGCCACGGTTCAGCGAGACGTTCTGCAAGAGCAAAATATTCTCAAAGAGGCTTGTGAATGTGGCACGATGTATATTACAGCAGAAAACGACACCTAATTTACAGAAACAATCAGCATTATGGCGAGAAGCTTTAAAATCTGTCAGTATGTGGAAAACAAATCTATGGACAGATTAATAAAGCAAATTTTTAGTCCGAGAATAAATCTAGCCTTTGTGCTAAAATGTATTTGTGTGAATGAATACATTCACACAACAGTGTAGCTTTCAGTGTTTATGACTGCTAATACTGTCAACCCTGTGAAAAACAGAGTTCCATTAAAAATAATAATAAAATAAACCAAACACTGTTTTTTTTTTTAAATGGCCATGAACATCCACCGATCTAAAAAGCTTTTCTGACGACATATCTATTGCTGTTCTGATCATCTTTATTTAAGCTTAGGCTCAGGAAATGCATTTTTGAGTGAACTACAGCAGAAGGTTTTGTCCCATATCTAACAAGGTCCTTTCTCAACAGTCTCGGTGCAGTCCTGCGTCTGTCTGCAGATCTCTTCTGCCGTTATTGCATCTTTCTGTTCAGGGCTCACAGTGGACGTTCTTGAATCCGGGGAGAGTGACCTTGCCTTTCCGTTTGAGGTCGTCATCTGAGCCGACGTTCATGCGCTGGATGAGCATCTTCTCATAGAGCAGGGGATGGTACGCACCCAGAGTGCAGGCGGCATCGTAGTAACGCTCGTGGTAGTGGCACAGGTCCGTCTGTCGCAGTGAAGGAATGTACTCGTACACGTGAACCTCTTCACATAAGGACATCATCAGCAGGATGCCTGAAAGACACAAAACTAGACATTAACAAAGCAGCACACACACACACAGTGACAGAAAAGTACATCAGATTAGGGTTGAGGAGAGAAGAAAAAAAGTGCTTCTTATTCAGCGAGAAAAAAAAAAAAAATCAAAATAAATTTAATTAGACTAGAATAGTTTAAAATGATTTCATTTATTTTTTAAATAAATGTATTAAAATATGAAAATTATATAAGTATATAATTTAAATAAAATGACATCTAAATATAATTACGTAATTATTTACATAATTAAATTATAATACTAATATATACACCTTATTTTCCAGAATATAAATTGCATATTTATCACCTGAGGTTTCAGTTTCACTTTAAATGCATTAGTTTAGGCATTGTGTTTATTATAAATGTTTATGATGCATGCTACTATAAATTTGTTTGGTTTAGGCTACCTATATTTTTCATTCCTGTTCAGTTCTGAATACTGTCAAATTTCAAGGTTTTGTTGTAGAGTGATGAGACCTAAAAGAAAAAAAAAACATTTATTTACAGTTTCATTTTATGTATTAGTATTTTACATTATTTCTAGATATAATAATAAAATGGGACTGATACAACTTTTTTTTTTTCCCCTCAACAATGCAAATTTTGACCTGGTACAACTTCTTTTCTAGAAAAATACAGAAAAACAAATATATATATATAAAAAAAAAAAAAGACAAAAAACCACAGCATAGAGATTGTGTTTTAGTTTAGTTGTGAACGTGCAGTCTGAATTAAAAGGCACCTATTATGCCCCTTTTTACAAGATGTAAAAAGTAAATTGGTAAAAAGTAAGACCAATGTCTTGGGTGTCCCCAGAATGTGTCTGTGAAGTTTCAGCCCAAAATACCCTACAGCTCATTTATTATAACAGTTGGAAAATGTCATTTTTGGGGTGTGTCTAAAAAAGAGCTGTTTTGGAGTGTATCGCTTTAAATGCAAATGAGCTGCATAGTCCCGCCCCGTCACCAGAAGAGGGCATCGCGTATACAGTACGTCTCTCTGCATTGCATATCTACAGCAATAAACAGCTGGTAGAAGCAACATAACAGAGCGAGAGAACCGGTGTTTAGCCGTACATATGGGAAGCCAAATGCACTGAAAGTGGAACGAAACAGCACAATGTTACAGAGCTAGCGCAACGCTTACCTGTCATCGGCGCGGATCAATTGACCGAGCCGCGTGACCGCGCTACGAACGGCGCAAACTAATCTAACAAGCGCGGCGCTGATCAGTTAAAAATATAACGACATGACATTCACAAAGGAGTCTGGAGTGATACACGTATTTAGGTAGATTTTGAGGTGCATTACCTTGAAAAATGAAAGTAATCCACAGCGTCCTCAGAAGCTCAGATGTTGGGAGAAAATGAAGACTTATGTTCAGTCTTACATCCAAACACAGAGCACCGGGATTGCTTGGGAGACATTGTTGACGTTACAGCTGCTCAAGCGCGGGGAAAAAGGAGGACAGCGTACAACCGCTGAGGGTGGAAACTATCGCAATGCAGGGCTGTCAATCAACCCCCCTGGGCCCCATGTCCAAACACCATGTAAAAGTGGATTTTGCATAATATGTGCCCTTTAAATGTGGTGAGATAGACTGGCCATACAAAATAATATAATGAAAGAAAAATATGGCATTGCCCATGTGGGCTGCATGCAATAACAGAGAGAGCAGTGTGGTCTAATTCAACAGTGATGAACTGGTCAATAACGAATTCACATTAATTCAAACTGTGACAGTGAATGAGAAAATAAGAGAACAAGCAGACAAAAGGACCATTTAGGAAGCAGAATCTGACATGATAAAAAAGAAAATGAGAAAATTAGGCTTGTGCAATTTCCATTCAATTAATTTAACTTAGCCAAGACCTACAAGAACATTTCGATTTAACTGAACAACCTTTATGCTGTCAGTTAAGGAATCTATGGATGTCAGCCTGTAATTTTTAGAGAAGTCATTATATTTTGATGAAAGATTTTCCCCCTTTATAAAAACATGTACTGATGAATTGTGCACTGTAATAATGTTGTACTTCAATAGGAAATAGGAATCCACACAAGGGCAAGAAAGTTGGTCTCTCAAATTCACCGCGTTGACCAACAGACAGACGCTTGGTTTGAAAGTGACACCTATGTTAGCTGTGCTATATGCATTGCTACACTATTGACAATAGACCTTTTTTTGCCCGTGAAATTTCACTAATGTGATTGCACCTTGATACCCTGCCAAATCTTCTTATAGCACTCCGCTTGAAAAGCCTTCATATTTTTGAGACAATGTTAAAAGTTTCTCAGGTCTCAAGTGTCTCTTCTCTCGCTTTTTGTCCAAAGTTCTACAGGTGCTTCTGCATCATGTTCTGCTGTCAGAGTTCGATGCAGAACGGTCATTCCTCCATGCCCTCCAAGACCACAGTCATCCAGCTCAACCGTAGAGTCCACAGTAACACTGTTGCCTGCACCGCTCAGATCTCCACCAGCATCCACAACCACGACTGCAGCACTCCGGCCACAGAGAGGACCAACCCTCCAGAGGTCACCACCTAACCTGAGCCGAGCCATCAGTCACGACATTGAACATAACGTAGACAATGTGGGCGATGGTCAACCCTGCCTTGTTTCCAGTGCTTCTTTCTTTTGTAGTTGCAACAATTAATTGTTAATTCAAAATAAGTGGATAGTCAACAAAGCATTTTATTGCTGATTAGTGAGGTCTTTTCGCTGTGCATGAAGAACCTTGAGTGATCTCATTTTGCGGTTTAATTAAAAAAAAAAAAAAAACACTACAACCTGCACTTGAAAAATACCAGAGGCAAAGAAAAGATAAAAAAGTAAACTGCAAGAAATCTGAAGCATGAGAGCATTATATTACACACTTCATATGAAGTTAAGCATATAGTTCCATGTGGCCAGGCTGCCTCAGTCAGTGTTCAATTCAGTTTTTCACCAAACGAGTTCATAAAATCTGTATTACCGGTATGTTCTTTTATTAGAAGCATTTTTAATATTGTATCAACATTTATAAGAACTGTCCTAACAGAAAGCGTTGGAAGAGATGGATGTTGTCTTAGAAGAGAAAGACTGTATATTTAACGTGTATATCTGTTAATTTATCACCTTTAAGAAGTGATGCAGCTCGTCAGAATGCTCTCGATGGTGCCTCTGTAGAAGGTGCACATGATGGGGGCCGGGGCTCTGGCTCTTCTTAGAAGTGTATACATACAAGTATACACACACACACACTATAGTTAAAAAGTTTGAGATTAGTTCTTTTAATACATTTATTCAGTAAAGGACTCATTAAATTGAACAGAAGTGATATTGAAGAAATTATTAATGTTACAAAATATTTATATTTCAAATAAATGCTGATCTTTTTTATCACTATTTTTCTGGCTACTAAAAATTCAGCTATCATAGGAATAAAGTACGTTAAAAAAAAATTATTGCTATCCCCAAAACTTCTGAAGGGTGGTATTAAAAGCCACAAGATGCCAATTTTTATTTCAGGTTCTCTTCAATATTTATACTTTGGCTATTTAACTTTTCTGCTGCTTTTCTACTGTAATCTGCATATTATACAGTGGGGAAAATATTAATTTACATTTAGCAGACGCTTTTATCCAAAGCGACTTACAAATGAGGACAATAGAAGCAATCAAAACTAACAAAAGATCAACAATATGTTAGCACAAATGACAAGTCTCGGTTAACCTAACGCAGTACACGTAGCAAAGTTTTTATATATAATAATATACACACACATATACATATACATATACACACACACACACACACACACACACACACACACACACAAAAGAAAAACAAGTAGAATAGAAAAAATGGAAAGCTAGTGTTAGTTTTTTTTTATAAAAAAAGATAAATGGATAAAGTAGAATTATAGAAAGTGTTAAAGTGAGTTAGAGGTTTAAATAAAGATGGAACAGATGTGTTTTTAGTCGTTTCTTGAAGATGGCTAAGGACTCCGCTGCTCTGAGTTGGGCAGGTCATTCCACCAGGAGGGAACAGTTAATGAAAAAGTGCGTGAAAGTGATTTTGTGCCTCTTTGAGATGGCACAATAATGCGTTGTTCGCTTGCAGAATGCAAGATTCTAGAGGGCACATAGTCTCACGTAGCCAGACCTTCAGACTGACGGCTAAAGAACGCGACACACACGTCTCCCGGAAATCCTGTATAATTCAACCAATCCGATGACGACTTCGACACTCCTGAAGTGTTTCCACTTTTGTGTCCCATATGCATCAGACGTTTAGCCAATGGTCCGTGGGCGTGACGTCTGAGGCTGAGACTAGGGGGCACATGACTCTGAAGTAATGAATTTAGGTAAAGAGGTGCAGAGCCGGTGGTGGTTTTGTAGGCAAACATTAATGCCTTGAATTGTATGCGAGCAGCTACTGGTAGCCAGTGCAAATTGATGAACAGAGGTGTGACGTGCATTCTTTTTGGCTCATTAAAGATTAATCTTGCAGCCGCGTTTTGGATTAATTGTAAAGGTTTGATAGAAATGGCTGGAAGACCTGCCAAGAGAGCATTGCAATAGTCCAGCCTGGATAGAACAAGAGCTTGAACAAGGAGTTGTGTTGCATGTTCTGA